TGGCACTGATAGACTTGCTCGACACCGAAATGCCACAAATCTGCAATTTTAAATTTTTATTGATGATTCAGGGTCTCACTATCACCCAGGCTGGAGTGCAATGGCACCATCACGATTCATCCCAGCCTCGACCCCCTGGGCTCAGGTGATCCTTCTGCCTCAGCCTCCTGTGTAGCTGGGACTACAGGCCCATACCTCCTTGTCCAGCTAATTAAACCTGCAACTCTTTTTTTTTGAGTTGGAGTCTCACTCTGTCGCCCAGACTGGATTGCAATGGCACATTCATGGCCACCACAGTCTCAACTTGCTGGGATCAGATGATCCTTCTGATTCAACTTTCCAAGTAGCTGGAACTACAGGCATGTGCTACCACGCCTGGCTTATTTTTTGATTTATTATAGAAACGAGGTCTCATCAAAGTGCCCAGACCACTCTCGAACTCCTGGGCTCAAGCAATCCTCTCACCTTGGTCTCCCAAAGTGCTGGGATTACAGGCTTGGGCCAAAACCTGCAATTTTTATATAGGGCAGTATCTGTGAACCTCAGTAAAGCAAGGTATGCCTGTATCAATGCCCAAGTCCCAATCTTGGAGATTTGGATTTAATTGCATTTATTTTATTTACTTTTTTTTTTTTTTTTGAGTTGGAGTCTCACTCTGTCGCCCCAGCTGGAATGCAGGGACATGCTCACAGCCATCACAGTCTCTACCTGCTGGGCTTCGCCGATCCTTCCGCCTCAGTCTTCCAAGTAGCCAGAACCACAGGTACACACTACCATGGCTGGCTAATTTTTTTTTTAATTGTAAAGATGAGGTCTTGCCAAGTTGTCCAGGCTGGTCTTGAACCCCCAGGCTCAGGCTATCCTCTCGCCTTGGCCTCCCAAAGTGCTGGGATTACAGGTGTGAGCCACTGCGCCTGGCTAGGTATTTCAATTTATAACCTTGCTGAGAACTACAACTTGATTGTTTTATTATATTTTATTGTTTTTTGAATTGGAGTCTCACTCTATTGCCCAGGCTTGAGTGCAGTGCCACAACAGCCTCAATCAACTACAACTTTATACTAACTGTTAAAAAATCTCAAACCAGCCGGGCTCGGTGGCTCAGCCTGTAATCCCGCGCCTTGGGAGGCTGAGGTGAGT